GATAAGATATCGCTGATGTCATTGGTACACAATAATCTGGAAGTACGGGTTAGACTACTTCTCTGTGCAATTGCGACATATAACGGGTCGTTTCTCCACGGCCCCCAATAATATATGATTGAGTGTGGAGTAGTCATGAACTGCTATTGATTTGGAAAAGAAGGGAACAACGTGGAGGGAAACCCACAGCAATACCAGTTAAGAAATATAATTTTGGTTGTGCCTTGTGCTTAACTTGGAAACTGTTTCTTGTCTGTTGTTATTTACTGTCTCTCACCTCATTTTCTTCAGCAATTTCGGCCTCTGCTTCATCTGTGTCCTGATCTCACACATAATATCCAGTTTCCTTTTCATCATTTCCTCCATGTATGGAGACATACACTTCAGACATGGAAGCAGATTAGTCATTCACGTTCCTCCGGCCAGTGTTTTGCAACATATCTAGGAGAGCCTTTATGATGTCCTGTTGTCCCTGTATTACGTTCTCCTGAATAGACACCGTCTTGTCCTGGAATAGTAAAAAATGTTAAGTATAATCCGAACTATTGGGGAAGGAAGTGTTTTTCATAATATATGGAACATGAGTTATTTTCTTCTTCAAGGTACCATGATATTAGGAAACATATGCATAGCACATAAAGTCTGCATGCTCCAAGGAATGTCAGATTTAGATATGGCATCTCTGATAGCAGCCTTCAGTGTAAGCGGGAGGGATCTTTTTCATAGGGAAAGTGTTGCTCAGGTGATCATGTAATAACAGACAATTCCCCCTCATGGTTGTGGGAATACATTGATATTCCCCACACAGTTAATACCACTCGCAAAAATGGATGTGATTAGTCCTATTTACTGCTAGTTATTGTTCGCTTTTAGCAAATATGGAAATGTGCAGACACTTTCCAATCATGTTCTCAAATGTCAGACTTCAAAGCTGTTTAAGTGCACTACTGAAAAAAAATTTATTCATTGTAACTTTTTCATGTACATATATCCATTGGAGCAGCCTATATAGTTTTCTTGACTTTGAACACACTTTGTAATCTCTTTTCATAAGTCTTAAGACTAGCTTGTCTGGATGAATGAATAACCTGTCAACACATTGGGAGAATTAGGGAGGCCAAAGCACACTCCGGGCTGTAGCGCCTGGGGAGAAGAAGATATTGCGAGAATTATGGCGGTGAATAATGAATCTGTTTGCTGCTTAAATAACATGCACGTGGACACGCATGCCTTGGAAGGCATTCAAACCTACGACAATAGCGTTCAGTCCAACCTAAGACTAACACACCAAATCTAGGTCGTTCAGTTTGACTTGTGAAACAAACTATTCAGAATTGACCAACTGATCAAAGGATTTTGCTGCGTCCTTCATCAGTCACCTTACAGGTAGAGACAGCAAGGAATCAGTAACTATTACCAGGCTACAGGACCCTATTTCCATGTGAAAGGGACATGTTACTCTCCCTCACATGTAGTGACAGAATTCATAAATCATACTTGGAAATCCCCTGTTCCACTAATTATGAAGAAAACAATGCCACATGTGATCATCATATGGTGTGTTCATGTATGTGATAGTGGAAACTTTCTAGCCAGTACAGGCTTCCGACTTACCAAGATTTCGTTCATTGCACGTTCCTCTTTAATCCCGGCCTTCAGCGATTTGATGAGACGTTTCACTTTGTCTCTCTTGAGCTCATCTTTCACCTCGAGCTCGTCATCCACCTCGGGGTCATCGTCCACCTCGGGGTCATCGTCTACCTCGAGCTTATTGTTTTGATCCTAGGACCAGAATGATAACATTTACACTTATGTGTCACATAATTATGATATAGGAGGAGAGATCTAAATCCAGTTCAGTGTTCACAGCATTGATTTTTTTTACAATGGGTATAAATCTCGGAGCAAATCCAATTTGCACTCCTAAAATTTAAGTGAGGGAGCTAAATCTTTGTATTTCAATGCACCTACTGTTCGCACTTTCAGAGAAGATTTCAAAACTAAAGCACAAGCACTTCTAAACCAGGTTCATAATATGGAAAAATACTGAATGAAATAAACGTGCAGAATTTGTGAAAAGTGCAAAAAAACTTGGTTAATGCCTTCCTTCGGAATATTTTCTTCCCTTCTCTACCATCCTTTTCACAGTATCCGCATTCCTCGAGGGTTACAGACTTTGGTCCCGGACACTACATCCTTCTCTGGATGAAGGAGTAAGTCGTCGCAGAACCAACATATTTCCAGAATTATCTCAGTGAAGTAAGTAAATTGACACGAGACAAAGAAACATGCACAAAAATATATAAATGACTCGAACACTAACAGCATTCTTCACTGTATATTCAAAATCACTCTGACAAAATCAGGTCCATGAGCTGCACTTTATGATTGAGGTTTCTGTGGAAATTTTGACAAACACAACTTTGAGGCAGACAACAGCCACGGCTGTTTCACTTAATCGCCATGCGACCTTGAAAACAAGTTGTCAGTGGAACCACGGTTCCGGAGAATTTGACGTAAATACGTCTATACAGAAAGGAAGTTTATATATTGGCTTTATTCTAAATATTTCCTTTAAACATAATTTACAATTGTGTAAATTTTGATTAAGACATTGCTTATTTAACTTGAATTAGTTACGCTTAAGATGGGTCTGTGGTAGCTGAATGTAATGTAAAGTAATGTATTTTAATGTATTGTAATGATATGTAATGTAATGTTTCCTAGGTAACAACAATTCCGAGTAAACAGATGACGTTTCCAAGGTAACGTATCAATGAAGTTACACTTTTTCGTAACACATTTTTCAAAAATGCCGAGTTCCTTAGGCAACCATTATTGTCGATTTGTTGATAAACAGATAAAGTTTTCTAGGTAACCATTGTTGTTTATTTGTTGATAATCCATTGTTACACTTTTTCGTTTCACTTTTTGCCGAATGACACTGACCCTAAAATATAGACGTATTTACGTCAAAAATAGTATACAAAATTGACAATTTCTTTATACTTGGCCGATGTGTTGCATAAAAAATGAAAAATCTCTTGGCAGTGGGAAATAGTTTAAGCTTGAATAATGCAATAACAACGAAAAAGGAGAATTTGATTACCTCACAGCTTCTGCTTGATAAACTGTCTCAATAATAAATACAACAATAAATGTGCATTCACCTGACAATTTTCACTACTAAATAAGCAGCGTAATTAATAAAACGTTTATTCCTTTTGTGTTAAAATTACACGATACTTACACACATTAACAGAATTCATAAATTACCAATTGAGAATTCCCCGTTCCTTCGCGTATGACAATCTTGTCGAAAACAACGTCATAGGGTGTGATCTTACCTTAATATGTTACAGGTTATAAACCATTTTTCATAATAGCAAGAGTGTCCTAGAAAGTAAGGGTCCCAAAACTTACCAAGTGCTCATTTGCTAAAATTTCCTCTTGTAGTCCCGCCTCCAACTCTTGATTTAAATGTTGCATAACCTCAATCTTTTTCTGTTGGACCTCGATCTATAACCAAGAGAAAACAAAATTTACGCTTATGTCTCTCAGAACTCTGTTACTGCTAGAATGACGTCCATTTTATTTAGAATTCACAATATGCTGTGGAATGCAATTTAAACGATGCATTATGCATCTCATTGTGTTGTCAAGTGGATTTAGTTTTCATGAAATTTGGTATTTAGACCATACAATCCCAAAGCTCATAACAGTAAAGATATTCAACATGGTAATGTGCCAGTCCAAGTTCATAGTGCGATTCCCGAAAGGGCTGAACCTCGAGATGAAAGGTAAACCAAGCTGTGATCAGTAGATTTGGCTTATATAAACGAAGAATGTGTAATTAGACGCCTTATTTCAATTAAATTTGACTGAGTTATTAATTTTGGCATTGTTAAATGTATTAAATTGAAAGAATGCAGCCACACGCAGTCGCTTGGGTGTCTCCCTCCTCGACATTCCGTCTGGAGGGAGCGAGACGTAAACAAAGTGCACTTGAGCCATCCGAGACGTGGAATGAACCCTTTCCAGATGTGAGGTAACGACTGCATTACGACCATCGCTTCGCTGTGACGGACCAATTGAATTTCAATACAGCTTATGGGCGCATTCCCACCGCTGAAAGAATCAGATTGCCGCATTTAATTCACATTCTATGGCAAATTACGTAATACAGGAGTATTTCAAGAGCGACTGTGGTTGCGGGGCTCTCTTAGCTCTCAAGTGTATGATCTCCAGGTCGTGCAGACCATGCACCACTTACTGCAGATTCTTTGTACAATAGTTGATTCAAAAAACTGCCTAGTATAAAATGCGACTCGTCTTCAGAGTGTCTCAAGAGACAATAAATTGAACTTCTCCAGGCTCACCAGTGGCATCTTTTGTTACTCGAGATCCCTCATCCCACGTAAAACATCAACTCCACCACCGCCTTCTCCGTATCTTCTCTGGGAATCGGAGTCCCATGCTCACCGACCTAAACCCACGCCCACTATAAAATTTTCGTAAAATCCCTTTCGCACTTATTAAAAAGATCGAAGCTGCAACTGTACGAGCCCCTGGCACGTCACTGGCTTTGACCAGTGACCTAAACAAACATCGAGATGCAGAGTGTGGAAGGACGGTTGCAGTAAGGAGTACAAATTTACCATCACTTCCGGAGGCAGATCCAATTCTTCCGGTCTCTCTTCTAGATCATCTGGACACACAGTCTCAGCATTCATGACAGGAGTCTAGTAAAAGAAAAAAATAAATTTAGTAGATAGACCTTTGTTTAATTTTCGTATTTACAGTGCTTTCAAAGTTATAAGGTAATTTACATCCATCTGACTCTGTTGCCTGTGAATTAACATCAACAAAATGTGGTATTTTGTCACTGCAACCCCAAAATATGATGATAGTTTAAACGGTTAGCCAGTAAGTGTTGGTCACTTACGACCGTCTCATCCGGTACGTCTTCCTTCTTGGATCTCCCGAAAGCTCTTCGAAGATAGGAATTTATGGCCTCAACGACTGAATTGTATACAAATTTGGGGCCTTCAATGACAATTTGGAACAAAGAGAAAATAATATTTACGCTCACGTCACAGTACTCTGGTATTTGTAGAAAGACCTTCTTTAATTCTTTTCTTACAGTACCTACAAAGATAAAAGGCTGTTTACACATTCCTCTATAAACTAATTCTGTTGTCAGTGGATCAAATTTAACAGAATTTCAACTTTAATTCTTACAATACTGAAGAGGACAGGTAGGATATCCTACCCTGTCAGGCAGAGGCTTGGAACGCACTTCCCACAGGCTGATTGCGGCTTGTGGATCAAATATAAAAATGAATAGTTTTCCTTAAAACACACACACACACATTAACCTAACCTAACCTAACCTAAGCTAACCTAACCTAAGCTAACGTAACCTAATCTGACCTAACCTAACCTAAGCTAACCTAACATAAGTTAACCTAACCTAAGCTAACCTAACCTAAGCTAAGCTAACCTAACCTAAACAAACCTAAGCTAACCTAACTAACTTAATATAACCTAAGCTAACTTAACATACTTTTAAAGCGATGTGTCCCGATAACCCACAAGTACCCAGAATAACATTTACAAAGTGAATAAACATTTGTTTCCTCTAATATAAGAGTTGGCGAATGGGGGAAGAGGCGTAAATATCACACTCTATTCGGCATATTCAAATTCACTGAATATGCTATCATTGCATTTACATCCTTCTGTAACAAAGCTTCAATTTTGCCATCAATGAACTTCAATTTGAATAAAGGCTCGATACGTACCGTGTTATTCTGAGATGCCGAATCTCCTTCTAGTCCTTCGTCTGGCTCGTCTTGATACACTGCTTTCCTGTTCTTGGTGGGACTCTAGCACAACAATAAAACAACATTTACAATCGAGCGTTACTGTATCCCTGATATCAATGCAAGGATCTTCATTGCATTTCTTATTTAGTGTTAACAAATATATAGCAGGCATTTTACACAAATTTTATTCTTTTGTGAGTGGATGAATTGTAATGAAATTTAGTATTTTGACAGTAAAGGCTCCACTTACCACTTCATTATTTGCTGGATTTTCATTTTTGTGTCTCCCTACTACTTCTTTAATGTCAGCTACCATTCCAATAAAGTAAACCTTCAGGTCTGGTATGAGAATCTGGCACCAAGAGAAAATAACATTTACAATTGTGTGTCACTGTTATGGGCGGAAATATAGGTAAAATATTTGGTATTGATACCAGAACAAAATTTGGCAGTGGAACCATGGTTCCGGAGAATTTGACGTAAATACGTCTATACGGAAAGGAAGTTTATATATTGGCTTTATTCTAAATATTTCCTTTATACATACTTTACAATTGAGTAACGTTTGATTAAGACATTGCTTATTTAACTTGAATTAGTTACGCTTAAGATGGGTCTGTGGTAGCTGAATTTAATGAAATGAAATGAAAGGTAAGGTAATGTATAATAATGTAAGGTAAGGTAATGTAATGTAAGGTAAGGTATAATAAGGAAAAGGTAATGTAATGTAATGTTTCATAGGTAACAACAATGCCGAGTATAAGATGACGTTTCCTTGGTGACAAAAGTGATAGTGGAACCACGGTTCCGGAGAATTTGACGTAAATACGTCTATACGGAAAGGAAGATTATATATTGGCTTCATTCTAAATATTTCCTTTATACGTGCTTTACAATTGAGATAAG